GTGTTAGTTATGTGCATGAGTTGCGTATTGTTTTGCACTTCCTCGAACTCGACTCTCGGTTTCGCTCTATAGAAAGTCTCCAATTTGCATAACAATATGTTATGATTTCACATCTCTCCCACTCACTCCTATCTATCAAACAGTTTTGCACCAACATTTGTCCTATTCTTATCATTCTCATTATTATTGTCATTCACTCCATTTTGTCACTTTTGGTTGAAGCTTTGGGAAACCTCACATGGAAATTTTATTGACAGGTATTATCGCTGGTTCCAGGGTCACTTCAACGATATTCGGTCACCAATCTCCCCTCCCTTATTGCTGTTCGACACCACTACGGTTCCGTCTTGTTATTTCCTCAAGTCAGTGTGCGTGAAATCACCGAAACCACACAGTCGCCTACAACCTGTGTGGTTTTGTCTTTTCAACCGTTCTTGTTATATCCTACCATGCAGTCCGTGCAATCCCACCATGTACGAATTTTTCAACCATTGTATTGTTCGTTTTGTCTGTTCATTTATCACCCCACGTGTTTTCATTCTCCTCTCGTTGTGTGGTTCATATCACCACCTGTTGTTTCTCACAGTGTTTATTCAATTCATTCAGAAGAATGTGGCAGACACTTCACCGCAAAAGTTGGACAGTTGTTTGAAAACTCTGTTTCATTTGCTCAACAATTGGAAACTGGCACTGCAAAAGGTGGGTAATTGTGATATGTGTGTTCAAGTTATATATTTGTGTTTCTGGCGAAAAAAGAACAATCGCTTCTACATTTTTGCAACCGAAATGATCGACAATTAAGAAATATTCGGTCTGTTTGAAAAATAAATTGACATTCGTGATACCCGCGGAAGGTAAACTCGCCATACAGATCCAAAGTGTTCCTGATCACCTTTTTAGACTCGCTGTACAGCTTGTTATGAATCACCGGAATCCGTCGAATCCTTCAAGTTTCGAAACCGGGCCTGCAAGTTTATTGGTCCGACTTGCTAACTACTCGATTTTTCTGAGTCGGCCCTCGGTATTTTCCTTTACGTTCAAGCATTCAGCCCTTACTGTCATCAAACTCATTGCACATCACCAAGCTAGAAAGCAAACTTTCTCCATTGTATACGGCTTCTCAGCAGAGTCTCACTGATACCAAGCAAGAAAATATGCATCTACTGAGCGCTATTTAGTTTACGGTGAACAATTAGCAATATTTTTATTCGTGATTTTTCCGGTTTTAGTTTACTCTAACCCGTTTAAAATTTCAGATGATACTGTATGCGATTACGTTTGTTCAACTGTGTTCTGTTGGAAACCACGATGTTACGAATGATAATCTTCATGTAATGACAGTGGTAGTAAATTGCAAATATTAGCTTCGTCACTGTCGTCTTACTACATTATTCCCGTCCTTAGTCATGCATTTGTTTGTTCATTGCATAGCTAATCCTAGCCCCATCAGGGGGTTCGGTCACGTCGAACTTCCGAATTCTTTAACCATTTCCCACAGTTCTTTAACCACTACACAGTTAAGCCGCTGTAAGCCAGTCAAATGAAAAAGTATCAGAATATTCTGAAGTCATCATCATCGTACAGCGAAATACAGTGAAGCAAACTTCACTGATCGCGGCCAAATTCGCAATGCATACAAGGTTAGTGGCACAATTTGAAGTGGACAGGGATTGGATCTATTTTGAGGGAGGGAGAAGAAGATAAGCCACTATGGTCAACACACAGAGTACGCAATCGAACTCTGCATACATACCGTTTCAAGCATTCTGACCTGATAAGAAACGACAACAGGAAAGCCACTTCTGCCGGTTTGCTGCCATATCCTTCAATGCCTCCAACCAACCAGTTGTGGAGTCTTTCATACCCCAACCCGGAAGGCGGGAGACACCTACTCTACCTAATGGCTCTGTGCATTTCTTCATGCTTCGTCTGAAGTTAATGAATATTGAAAATTGTCATTTCTTACATTTATTTCTTGACCAATCTGAATGGATAAACGAGACGGTCCAAACTTTGCGTCAGTAACGTCAAGTCATTTGGCTCGTTCAGTTTAACTACAGCATTTTCTGTGAATCTGTTTCGTTGTTCGCAAAAGAAGAATAGACTGAATTGAAGTAATCAAAACTTACCTGTCTGAATTTCCTGAACCCCTCTCGCAGCTGGCTGTGAAATAGACTTTATAATGCAAGAAGGCCAGTTTAGTCGTTTGTATGTAATTGTGTGTGGGTGAGCCCTCTGATCAACCAACGCCTTTTTTGATGATGAGGCTGATGAAAAACCTGTTTGCGGAACCGCTTCTTAGAAACTTAAAAACATACTAGAAAATCTATATTTGAAATTCATTCGTCAAAAGCGTGCTACTGTGCTCAAGTTAGGTCCCCTACTGGTCGCAAGGTTTCGAGTCCTCGCAACCCACTTTTGAGCGTTCGTAGTTCAGACAGAACCATTTACTGCAGTTATCTTCGTCAGTATACAACGTCCAATTTGCGCTACCGGGTCGCCCCATATTGTGGATTCGACAGTATCTCAGTTTTGCTTCACAGGCTGAATGATCAGCGAATAGTGATGTCTCCACCCATTCTCAGTTCCCGGAATCATTTTCTCATAGGAGTCTACCAATAATGCTTCTTTCGATGTTCCAAAAGTTCTCACCTTTCAGTCTTTCCTAAACATCCCTTTTATTCCCCCTTAGGGATTTTTGACTCGCTTTCCTTTCTTTCCATACATTGTTTCTCTCTTTTCTTCCTAGGTTTATCCTTCAATTCTTCTCGCTGTTGATCTCTTCTTATCTTCATCGCGTTTCACGCAACGTCGGCTTCCTATTCCGCTCCAATCGCTTCTTTGCTCCACCTACATTCCTTTATGCAAAGATAAAATCTGCTCTACGCTCGTTCTTCTAACCACCTATAAGCTGTCCCTTTCCAAAAGAAGGGTCAAAACATTAGCCCTCACTCTCGTGTTTGGCCACAATCCTCCCCTTCCTTCCGTGTAACTTAGAGTAATGGAATAACTCCCTTTTTACAAATAAATTTTCTGTGTGTAACAAAATCGATCAATGAACATCCTTCAGATCGACGTGCTCGAAAAGTCCTCGTCTATGCTCTCCCTTCACTGCCTCGTTACGCCTGCTGGATCCCCTTCGACCACCACACACATTGGATGGAAATACCTATCTTTAGGTTCAGCAGTACGGTATATTTCGATCTTGATTCAGAGGTGTTAGGCAGCCTCTTTCCTCTGCGCTTGCATTCATTTAATCTTCGTCGATCTTCCGCGTTGGTTAAACAATAAACCCTTTTCATTGCATCCATATCCATACCATTTATGTTGTCGATTGCTTATTGGGATAGAATAGGTTCGACGAGTATTACTGCAGCCAACCTTTGTGAAGTACAGCCAACAATCCCCTTCAAATACGAATGATCCGATGTTTTCTACTTGTTTTTTCCGCTCAATTTCGAAATTTTTGTACGCTTCAGACATTATGGACTTCAAATTTGTAAGAGTGCATTTATGTCTCTTACTTCGATTTGACGCCATATCCTGTATGTATCTGCATCCTGCCACGGCGTGGATCTTGGGAGATCATGTCTAAAATGCGGAATGTCCCGGTGAAGGCCAGACTGGTGCACAACTTTTTCAACCTTCTACACCACATGATATCTTGCTCACCTAACTGTTCCCTCAAACTTGGTCCTGTGTCTGCGAATGGAGCACAGTATAGCAAACACTGTCCAAGGATTCGCAGGACGCGCTTTAGAAATTTCAGATGACCATGTGAAATGATTTTGCTTAGCGAAAGATTATCCATCTCTATTACATTTCGTCTGACAACACCTGTACTCGGGTGATACTGCCCTATTTCCTGGGTGATGCTCCATAGAAAACGGTTGTTGAAAACAAATAGTTACTTATCATTATTTGCTTGGAAAGGACAATTTTCGCAACCGTAACATGATACAGCACATACCAGTTGCACTATGCGCGTGCTCTTTCAGTGAAGAAAATTTGTGTAAATCCTTATTCCAAAATTCTTTGTTTTGTTGAATAATAAAGTGTTTTATATGTCTTCTCACTCAATTTTAATTATGGTTGAAAACAAACCGATTCATTGCCGTGCGATATCGCTGTATGAAGTAGAAGTTTCCCATGTGTCCTGTCACATTCCCTTGTCATTAAATCATCCCAGGATGGAGCTGTGTCGCCTAGCATCAATGACAAATCTGCATTGTATGAGGCTGAGGGATTCGCGCTGGTCATGCTGTGCCATTGTCGTTCAATTACTCGTCGTCTTGCGGTTCACATACTACGCAAGTGTCGAGCTCTAATCCACCTAATCGATGCCGCCACCTCGGCTGGTGATGTGCCAATTAACAGTCGAAACAGCGAGGAATTGTGCTGTATCGATGTTCTAGATCGTTTGGTCCCCCAGTTGCTCGAACGCATTCTACCTCTGATTCCCGTACACGAACGAGTAAGTCACCGCCACTCATTACTTTTACTCCTTCCCAATTTAGTTGTTATCGTCTTCCCCAGTTGTCTAGGTATATCCCGAACAGCTGAACCTCTGTTTATCCACGCGAGCAGTTTATCCTTTTCATAGGCTATCACTTGATGTGAATTCCATAAACGAAAGAGCTCTTGGTGACGAGTTTCACTTCTTCATGTCACTGAAGTGCCGTGAAAGAGAAAGACCTAAAGACACTCATTTTCAACGCGTTTTTTGTCAACTTTTACCATTCGCCGAACTGGTAGTAATACCCCAGTGCACAATCAGACTGTTTAATTGGTTTTGGTTTAGTTATCAAGTCATGTGAATCAACCGTGTACAGACCAAATCCATTGCGCGAAGACCAAGTTGGGGACATTCTTTTGATGTCCATATACTCGTTCGTTTAACTTGCGTGCTGTAGTCATTCCGTTAGATAGCAATCACTGTTCGGTATAATTGAACACTAAGTTGTTTTTTGCAGTCAGATTGGGTTATGCACGTATATCAAAGTTGCTGAAATCAAATAAGCCCATGAAGGTTATTCTAAGGTGAAGTTGGGGGTGCGGAATAAAACACATGCAAGGAATCCACAGTATGAAACAAATGGTATAGTCACTGTCACCGATTTCCTTTGCACCCTATAATCCCAGATGCGGGCCCCACCACGACCGAACTTTGTTGGTAGGCCGCTTCGCTGTTGTCCGGGTCAATCATTCGCCTAACCTAGTGGACCTTATGTGGTCCCGTGGCTTTATCTCATCCAAATGTTCAAATTTTTTCCCTCCGTAGGCTGCTCTCGCGAGTGCCGTTCATTTGGACTTTTCCTTACTGGCCGAACGTTGCAGTCCGGTTTGGTTGAGTGGATCGGCTCCCGTCGTCACGTATCCGGCTGTGGTTGTGCCCACAAATTTTGTGAGCAATCAGTATTCCAGCCTGATGCCCATGAATGATTTGGAACGTAACTCTTCAAAGGATGTGTCCGAACAATTCAGAAGACGAACCCAGTTCTCCATGTATCCCGTGGACGCACGAGCCGGTCCGATTAACAGAGACGCGACGGAAGATGTGCACAAGATCATGGGTATGCTCTTTCTTTTTCGCTCCTAAATTTGACCTCTGATGTGTCTCGTAGTCATTCTTGATCGTTGCCTACGTTTAACAATCGAAAACTGTCAGTCACCCAATTCCTTCTCATCCATGTGATCTGACCAACCATGTCGATCAGTTCATAAGTCACCCGTAATCGGAAATGTCGGTTTCATGTATGGAGATGTCACGTGGTTGTTTCGTTTTCTTCGGTTTAACATTAGTTAGAAAGTGCTGGTTATATTGAGCAACTAAAAAAGGGACACATTTGTCTAGAATAGGTGTTCATTTGTTGTAATTTTTTACACTATTCGATTGCGTACGGGATTTATGTATAATAGTGAATCTACCTGAGGTCAACTTTATAAAACTCGGAATATACGATTCAGTTTATCACATCGCACCTTTACCATCACTTAGAGACTACACCTTGAGGTGTTGTAATGGATTCTGCACTTCTATTATCCAACGAGCTACACAGGATGGCTTCTTTAAAGCCAAGAGATCTTATCACACCGGGAAGTTCAGAGGGTAGGGATCAGATAAAATACAGTTTTGTGGTCCTCCAGTATGTTGGTTTGACTGGAATCCGCATTTCAGTCGATAAAAAGGTAGAGGAGTAATCGATTCAAGTCAGTGAGCTTCTACTTCGCTAAATCCGCTATCTTTGTTAGAACTAAAGGTTTTGGACAGGAACCCTAATTGTTCTCCTGCTTAGTGGATGGACAACCTAGCAGTACTCTTCCATCAAACCCAAATGCATACACTAACTAAAAATAATTCCATACTGCATCGGTCGTCGCGCGAATAATCAGGTCCGCACTACCCATTGCATCGAGGTAATGATCAATGGGCTACTGCTCAGACATCCCACCTTTGCTTATTCCCTTAATTTTCGTGTCCATCTCTCCTTATTTACTCCTTCCGATCTGTAACCTCCCCTCAGGCATAATGTTCGTCACTCGCCAAAGTTGATTGCCAAATAGTGCTAGAAGTAGTTTACCACTAAATTGACTGTAGTTTGTGAAGTCTCATCAATCGCTGAATCTGAGGGCCTTCAACTTGAGGACTCTGCAGGTGGATCAACAAGCGTGTTTGGTTTCCAAAAGGGAACTAGCATCAAAAGATGTTTGCTTATTATTTCAGTTCTATGATAAACTCACCGAACTCATTCGGTTCACCCTAAGCTCCGATATACTTGTGATCGCCGGTGAGTTCAACGCGCAAGTTGAAAAATTTGATCATATCGGAAGCTTACTTAGGCGAGCATTGTGCTCTGCCCTGCCAACGGCCATATAACGGCGATCGACTTCTTCAGTTCTGCGCAGATTACCATCTGTTCCTATCGAGTACGAACTTCCGGCAGAGCTCTCAGTGGACAGAAACGTGACGCTTCAATTCAACTGGTACGCTAACTCACGTCGACCACACAACAGTAAGCTATCATTGACGTAGCTCGCCACAAAATTGCAGGTTCTATTGCACCACCTACGGTAAATCTGATCACTCGTTAGTTTTGATGCAGTTCACTCTCCGACCCACTGATCGTTGAAAGACCCACCAAAGTCGATGGGCAGATCATCTGACTCTAACATCGTGGAATAACTAAAGACTGTTCTAACTGATATGCAAAACGGGAGATCGGTGACCCTCAGTTGGTGAAACTACCTGTGACGAAAATTGACAAGCTATTCACAGTAGGGTCCGAGGTTCGAGCCCCACCACCGCCACCCAACTTTGGTGGCAGCTTTGATGTCGTCCGGTTCAATACCACGCCTAACCTATCGGGGCCTTATGTGGCTCACCACTCCAAGTCCCGGCTTAGGTTACCGGTTTCCATGACGGAGCAGCAGGTCTTCGTGACTATGAGGTTCGCTATTTGTCACACCTAGGTGGGCAAAGCACTTAAACGAACAGTTCAGCTGACTGGGTGCTAACCGAACGATCTCGTCTGATGTATTTGAGGCTCCGTGGGCAGTGTCACATGACTCTCCCAATGCATCAGAAGTACAACCTGAAATCCATGCCCTGAAGAAAGGAGAAGCAGCAGGATCTGATGAACTTTCTCCCACTCCTAAGAATGAGGAGCCATGACTTCGTAGATGTCTTTACTGAGTTTATGCGTAACATCTGGTTACAACAGCGCATTTTATCATCCTGGAGCGAATTACTGATTGTTCCAATTTTTAGTAAGGGATCTCGCAACAACTGCGCAGTACTAAGTTTTATTCAAATTGTCACCAAAGTATTAACCTCCGTCATACTTCGACGTCTACAGGCAGACAAGTATCCCTAAAAATCAAACAGTTTTCCAACCAGGTCGCGGTTGTATCGACCAGATCTTCATGCTGCGTCAAGTCCTCGAGCTAAGCCGACCACCAACGGTTGTCTTGTTACTTGACCTAAAGGGAGCCTTTGACTCAGTTGACCCCGAATACCTATGGCTTCGGTCCTTCGCAAAAGAATGCCGCAGAAGTATGTGAACATACATAAGTTAATCTATTCGCATACTTCTGGTAGCGTAAGGGACTACGGCGAGTTGAGTAGGTCGTCACATAGCCTGGCTCAGTTGGGATGGAGTGAGTAACCCAGAAGTCGTCGGAGGTTGGGAACGCATCGGAAAGGAACTCGCTATCGCATCGAATTAATGTTGGTGATCTCCGTTGGTTATGTATGTTTTGCGTATGTCCAACGATCACCTACTACACCGCGCCTTATTTGCAGTAATCGTCGCAGACGGGAAAAAGCCACTTGGAGGCCAGCTGATGGCGTCGAGACCAGCCATCAAGAAATGCACAGAGTGATTAGGTAGGGTAGGTGTTTCTCATATTTCGGGTTTAGGGCCAAAAGACTTCGTAACTGAATGATTGGAAATAGTGAAGGTCATGTCAGCAAACTAATATCAGTGGCGATCTTACTGTCACTTTTTATCAGACCAGAATGCCTGAAATAGTGGGTATACACAGTTGGACTGTATGTTGACCATGGAGGTTCGCTTCCTTTTCCCGTCCTTAAAAATAGGCTCCATCCCTATCATCCGTATTCTCTCTTACGGTTTATGCATTATGAGTTCGGTATTGATGATTGATGTTCACTTCACAGTAGTTAGCTGTGCGATTATGATAATGATCACCTTTACTTTACTGGTGAGCAACACTCACCCATATGTACCAAGGATCATCAAATTTACGATATTACACGGCTTATTGGTGTATTTCACTATTAGTTTTAAATCAGATTTTTACCATGGCTAAAAAAACAACACTGTCCACATTTCGTTATGCCATTTCGGTTGGGAAACCATCAATTTCTTGACTGAAGTTGACTGGGTTGACGAGTTCACACTGCTGATGAGACCCAACCAGGTCGAAAGAGCTGTCCAGTGCTTCCTAGCTTTTCAGATTACGTTTCATTGGCTACATACACGACGAATTTCCCTCTTGAAAAACAGATTTGTTGATTGTACAATCCAGTCTTAACAGAGCATGATCGGTGCAATTCACGGCACTCGTCTGGTTATGCTCTTTGTAACCCTTGCACACTTCTATAGTTCTGTAAAGCCGTTTCCTGGATGTATCTTTCCTTTATACGCTTCATTCTTTTCTCTTCGATTTAAATTTTTAGCGTCCAGTTTATACGATCGAACAACCTCACCGATGCACATGTTTCAACGGGATAGTCGACGTTCAGACCCACCGACCACTCATGCGGCCACCTTTCCGCACTCGGTCGGTCCCGGTCTGTTTCGTCGTGCTTCCCAAAATCAACATCATCCACATCATCCGGTCCAACACGCGCAACAAGCTTATATTGTACAACCTGTGCCGGAACGTGTTATCCTGAATGATGTCTGGGCAACGTGCCTGTCTATTGCATTTTCCCCGGATCATTTGGTCACTGCTTGTCCAATGGCTATTAAGTATGCCTGGTCGGTACTGTATCAGCGGTTGAGTCAACTGTTTCCCATTATCGATCCTAGGTAAGTTAGTGAAGCGGAAGACCTATTTGGGAAAATCGTTTTGTTTTACACCTCAGTTGTTTCATCGCATGAGTTCCTTCGGCATTCTTTGCGACAGAGCAGTAAGAGTATGGTAGAAATCTGAATCTGAGTCTCTGTTGTTTTACCGTATGACGTGTTCTCATACAGAGCTGATCTTTCACCCATGGGGAACCTGTCATAGAAAATGAAAACGAGATACTTCAGACTAAGAGAAATCAAAACAATCTCTCCATCAGCGGGGACTGAACATTCAGCATTAAGGTCTAGCGTTGTCAAAGGCAATGAAGAAGCGTGAATAAAATCTCCAAGAATTATAATGAATAGCTTTTGTTGCAACAGGGGAACCGTTAACGGGTTGCTACAGTCCAGATTAGGAACCGATAGAAGCGATAGACACATTTAAGCTGATCATCAAACAAACAGATGAAAATTTGGAGCGGCATTGTACAATTGTAGAAAGCAGTTAGGATTTACCAAACCATGACTCCATTCGGAAATATTACAGCACCGCATGCAGACTTCTAACGACAAGGCTGTCGCTTTGGATGGAAACACATCTGACCCTGGAAACACTTGAGCTAATCCTCAGTATCTGCGTGTAACCAAGTTTACTTGGTTACACGCAGATACTGTACAAAAATCATACAGCTACAGGATAGAATGTTAATACTTAAAAAGATTTCCTCTTTCTTCATAAATTACGGAAATGTGTTCTATACATTATTCCAGTAGTTGTGCATTCTCTTATTCTACCTGTTTTTTCTTCCTTTTTTGCCTTTTTTTGCTCTATTTATGAATTCGTGAAAAATAAATTCCTCGAATGTGTAATTCTCGCGGATATTGTGAAATAATCCAACACAACTCCCAAGCAAGCGTAATACTGCACTCAGTCAGAGAGTACACGCGTGTCATTAGTTTCTGACCCCCGAACAATTCATTAACTCAGCGACTGCTCTATTGTTTCAACCCCCACCCGGTGGTGACCAGTGCGCAAATTGTGGAGAATCGTGCCTCATCGATACTGCGGTCATCAAGCAAAAAACCAACCATGGAACGTGAACAATTCTTCCCATTGTGGCATAATTATGCAGTTCTTGGTTGCTGTATTGCACCCAACTCAGCTGGATCCCGAATGAATGCACCACGAACCACGTACTATCAGGCGAATGCATCGGTGGCTGTTGCACCCGGGAGTACGAAACTTGGGACGCGATAGTGAGTCTGCTTTTCAAATATTTCTGTTCTGTTTTTGTTTTGGATTTTGACGAAATAAAGCTATCAACTTCTTGATTGCAAAATCCTGCCGGTCAACCACTGTCCAACTTAAAACTGGCAGCTCAGTAGCAGTCGTCATCCTCTATACCACTTTCAGTGTTTTTATTCAAACGTTTCGAGTCACTATTACATCTGCCATAAGTCATGTGTTCGACTCCCATCGCCACATCTGTTTCCACTTCTGCGATTGCCCACGTGTGCCGATCCTCTGATAAACTGATTACCTGTGGTCTCCGCCATCATGTTGTACCGCTAAGTTTGACGCTTGATCCTGTTCCAAATGGACCTCAACTTAAGCGGCCTATCGCGTTCCAGTGTGCTTTCTTAGCTTCTGTCCTGGCTATTACAAACCGGTTATCACTCTTCCTCAATAAGTAACACTAAGGTCAAAGTTTATAATAAATAACGTATCGACCACGTAAAATCCAATTTTTTTGGCCCCCAAAATTGCCTGAGGGGATCTTGTAAAAAATAGTACTATTCGCCGTAGCCTTTGGTGCATCCGTTTTCACTTCTGTTTATTTTGTCGCCCCCTTGGAGATGGTGGTCCCTATTCCGTTCGTCTTCGACACCAGTCGTTTGGCGAACTATTCTGGTATTTCCCGTTAAGATAATAAGATTCAATTATGTATTCTGCATTGAAAACAGTGATTCATTATAAGGAAAACGAAAAATCGCCTGATCAGTAGCTTGATGGCCAAGTGGGTTGTTTTCTTGCGCGCTGCCTATGAGGTCCCGGGTTCGATCCCCCGTTGGATTCGTACTTCTGATGAGACCCAACCAGGTCGAAACAGCTGTCCAGTCAGTGCTTCTTAGCTTTTCATTACACTTTTCTTTTGGTTTTCACACGACACTATTCACTTCTTGTTTTAATCAAACAGAACGAATGATAATCACGACATACGTTACTTAACGTACTGTATTGTATTTTATTAAAGCTTTAGGGAGTTATATACAAGCTTTCAGCAAAAAAGAGACCACCGTCACAATACTAGCGAGAGGAGAAAAAAAGTTGGACATGCAGTCTGCAAAAATGTGAGTTAACTACTAAATGCACTAAAACGCTCAGAGCGAACAATCCTTGCCGGTCAGTATCCGGACTGTATAGGATAACAAAGAGTTTATGCGGGTAAATATCCGAGATGGGATGAATTTGTATTTGGAACGGGTGGAGGGGTGGGATTCACATGCACACAGGTCAATGTGTAAATGGGTGCAATCAAATTGAATATTGTCAGCAAAATTTAAGCATGCATCAACACGAGTATCACAGATATTATCAGTGAGAACAGATAAAAGAACTTGTGAGACACGGCTGATCATTGAGAGGTTACGCTTTGTACCTGAAAATCGACCTTCAGCAACCCAAGCAAAGCCAAATGGGAGCAGTGAAGGGGTATAGGGAGAATACATTGTCGAACAAAACCTCCCATCATTGCTAAATGAGTACAGGAGTGGTATAATCTTATCTGGAAGGAGAGAACTTTCTCCTTGCGAGCAATAGTTTGGGTATGAAAAGACCAGCGAAGGTTACTTTCAAGTGTGACACCTGTGTACTTCATATGGCTGACCTTGCTCATCGGCTTCCCTGATAGTTCGGTCAATCTAGCTTGCTCCACAGGTGCAAGTGAACCCGTAAAGGCACATGGACGGGGCTCGAAGAGAGAGTTGATCTTCGAGGTGGAACCATATGCTGAGGACGTAGTGAAATTCGTTCCGCTGTTGTAAATGTTTGACGCAGCGCTTGACTGATTCGTAATGTAAGTCACTCAGCCATGTTATCACTTTTGAACAGTAGTTGCAAATAAAGTGGTTTCCTTTTGGCCGTGTGCACTACCGGTCGCGCGGTTATCTCTGTGTAACCGTTTCCACGAAGAACGTTTTTAATGTGTTCAAGGTCTTCTGCTATGGCGTTTGGAGAGCAAATTTTCCGTTCCCTCATAGCTAGGCATCACACTAGATTTCTCTTTTGTTTCAATGGTACGAAGCTATTGAAATTCACATATTGTCCCGTCCATGTTGGTTTTGTGTATACTCCTCTCTGGAAGGTTCCATCTGGGTTTCGGATTAGTTAGACATCCAGGAATGAGATTCGATGGAGAATTTGATTGAGTTGTCGCTTTTATTGCATGTCTCCAGTACGGACTCAGCGTTGGTTGTGTGGTTTGTTATGAAAAATATATCGTCTACGTATCGACAGCATACACTGAAGTTGTGGATGGTGCCTTGTAAGATTGTACTCTCGAGTTTCTTCATATGTCCGCCGACAATGGTCGCAGCGGACATCCCACTGCAACTCCGTTCGTCTGTTGGTAGATTCGACTGTTGAACACGAACCGGACGCCAAAAGTGCACCGAAGCAGAAGCTCATTCTGACTGGAAGTGGTATTCCAATTCCCAGTTGGTTCTCTGCTATGAATTCGCATAGAAACTCGATAGCCTCCGGAAGTTGGATGTTCGTGAATACGGAAGTCGCATCTAAAGAGTGCATTGTTTGTGATGAGGTGTTTATGTTTCTGATCCGTTCAGCGAATTCGAATGTATTCTTCAGACTGTCATTGGAGATTCGATGAGGAAACAATCCTAATAAAGCCATTGAGACCGGACAGACCTTGTTGATGAAGAAACCCGTTGGATCCATAGACACCTCATCTACTCGGGAAATTCACGCTTATGCTTACTTTTTTCTTCACTACCGGTAACCGGTCTTAATAGCCTCCAGTTTCGTGTTTTCACTGGGCGCATCGATGTTTCGTCCTATCTTTTTCGACTTGACATTTGATTGAAAACAGTGTTGTGTTTTTACTGCACAACACACATATAATGTTTTTGACTTTCTGGCTCACATGCTAAATCTCACGGATACTCGTTCTGTATTGTGTCGATTGTAACTGTCACTTTTCAGTAGGTTACACAATCATTGATCGCTACCTGTCCAGAAATAAGACCGAACGAATTTCGATTCAGTCACGAACGTGACATGCAGCAGCTAACCACGAACGGGAAACAGGTGCACAGGGAATGGTAATTTAACAAGTGTTCCTCATGACATACCTAGATGAGTACAAAGACCAACACTTAATATTCTAACATTTAATCAACCTCAGTGTTATCATCAACCCAAGTTGTTTCGTGGAACCACCTATCCTGATGAACATTCCAGTAAATCAACACAAATCAAATAGATATGGGGTGCGATCTGCCACATTGATCTTATTTTCTTCAATCTTCATGGTTTTGCGTTTTCAGCCCTCTATCTAATTAGCCCAAAACTTAAATTTGATCATAAAATCAAATTAGTCACAGAAAGAGGAAGAACAAATTCTGGCGACAGGTTTGTGAACACTGGACAACTGTTTTAACCTCGTTGGGTTTCGTCATCATTTGTCGATCCCGTCGCGCTCGGAATCGAGTTCATGATCCTACGGAAAGAACACACTTGTCCTACTGTCACTTACCCGCTGAATCTCTAATTGCTTCATGTCGCTCACACTTAACGTCACTTTTCCCAACTGACGCGAATGACCCAAATCAGTTGGCTATTAAGAAAGAGATTCACGTTTTTCATAATATCGCTTGTTTTTATCAAGATCAGACATGATTCTTTGAGATTTCAGGATGAGTTTACCATGCATAGAATAATCTCGGTAACTTTTACCGAAGTATTTATGCTCCACCTAGGTATTTTCCTCATGGAGTAGTGGTTTCATATGATATAATCTCTTATGATTTATTTTGCAGCACGCCGTCATCCAATTCGCAGGCAGATTCTTCGGAACCTGGTGGGGCATTAAGATCTTCCACCGGTCATTCAGCCTCACCCCTGTCGTCCGCCACTACTGTCAATCCCGCCATCATCACAGAAAGTAGGGTTACAACCACCTCGGGATCTGCCGCGTCTCCACCTCCTCCG